GTAAGAGGTAGATGGGAAAAGAGGAAGGTGGCAACAAGTAAGAGGGAGGTGAAAGTGTATAAACTAAGGGAGGAGGAAGTTTTGGGCGAGATATAAGCGACTATTGGCAGAAAGGTGGGGTAGTGCAAAGATGAGTAGTGGGGGGGTTGAAGAGGGTTGGAATAGTTTTTAAAAATGCAGTATTAGAATGTGGGGGAGAAGTTTGTGGTTATAGGAGGGTGGGGGCAGGAGGAAAGAGGAGTGATTGGTGGAATGATGAAGTAAAGGGTGTGATAAAAGAGAAAAAGGTAGCTTACGAGAGGTTTTTAAAAAAGCAGAAGTGTTATAAGAAGAGCAGAGTATATGGAAAAGTAAAAAGAAAGGTGAAGAGAGTGGTGAGAGAGTGCAAAAGGAGAGCAGATGAAAAAAGTGGGAGAGGCATTGTCAAGAAATTTTCATGAAAATAAGAAAAATTTTGGAGTGAGTTAAACAAGTTAAAAAAGCCTAGGGAAAGTATGGATTTGTCAGTTAAAAACAGAGTAGGGGGTTAGTAGATGGGGAGATGGAGGTATTAGGTAGATGGCGAGAATATTTTGAGGAACTTTTAAATGTTGAGGAAGAAAGGGAGGCAGTAATTTCATGCACTGGCCAGGGAGGTATACCATCTTTTAGGAGTGAAGAAGAGCAGAATGTAAGTGTGGTGGAGATACGTGAGGCATTACGTAGAATGAAAGGGGGTAAAGCGGCTGGAACTGATGGGATCATGACAGAAATGTTAAAAGCAGGTGGGGATATAGTGTTGGAGTGGTTGGTACTTTTGTTTAATAAATGTATGAAAGAGGGGAAGGTACCTAGGGATTGGCAGAGAGCATGTATAGTCCCTTTATATAAAGGGAAAGGGGACAAAAGAGATTGTAAAAATTATAGAGGAATAAGTTTACTGAGTATACCAGGAAAAGTATACGGTAGTGTTATAACTGAAAGAATTAGAGGTAAGACAGAATGTAGGATTGTGGATGAGCAGGGAGGCTTCAGAGTGGGTAGGGGATGTGTAGATCAAGTGTTTACATTGAAGCATATATGTGAACAGTATTTAGATAAAGGTAGGGAAGTTTTTATTGCATTTATGGATTTAGAAAAGGCATATGATAGAGTGGATAGAGGAGCAATGTGGCAGATGTTGCAAGTATATGGAATAGGTGGTAAGTTACTAAATGCTGTAAAGAGCTTTTATGAGGATAGTGAGGCTCAGGCTAGGGTGTGTAGAAGAGAGGGAGAATACTTCCCGGTAAAAGTAGGTCTTAGACAGGGATGTGTGATGTCACCATGGTTGTTTAATATATTTATAGATGGGGTTGTAAAAGAAGTAAATGCTAGGGTGTTCGGGAGAGGGGTGGGATTAAATTATGGGGAATCAAATTCAAAATGGGAATTGACACAGTTACTTTTTGCTGATGATACTGTGCTTATGGGAGATTCTAAAGAAAAATTGCAAAGGTTAGTGGATGAGTTTGAGAATGTGTGTAAAGGTAGAAAGTTGAAAGTGAACATAGAAAAGAGTAAGGTGATGAGGGTATCAAATGATTTAGATAAAGAAAAATTGGATATCAAATTGGGGAGGAGGAGTATGGAAGAAGTGAATGTTTTCAGATACTTGGGAGTTGACGTGTCGGCGGATGGATTTATGAAGGATGAGGTTAATCATAGAATTGATGAGGGAAAAAAGGCGAGTGGTGCATTGAGGTATATGGAGGAGGACAATGAAGAACTAACCACTGATGAGCTGCTAGATCAACTTCAACAGCAAGAGGCCAGACCTGAGGAAACTGGTTCGGAGGAGGGGAGAGAGAAATTGAAGAAGTTGCCTACTTCAAAGATTAAGGAAATGTGTGGAATGTGGCTTAAAGTGCAAACCTTTTTTGATGACAATCACCCTAACACAGCTATTGCAAGCTGTGCTGGTGACTATTACACTGACACTGTTGTGAAACACTTTAGGAAAGTCATAAAGGAACGAGAGGTACAGGCCACTATGGACAGATATGTTGTGCGACAGAAGTCCAGTGACTCTGAAGCTGGTCCTAGTGGCATTAAAAGAAGAAGGGAAGTAACCCAAGAAAAGGACTTGACACCTCAAGTCTTGAAGATTGAGACACTTATGCAGCATATGGGAATCTTTATTCAGGAAACGTTTCGCCACACAGTGGCTTCATCAGTCCAATATAAAGAGGAAGGCGTAAGGAGAGGAGGAGAATGAGGTAATCAGTCCCTCAACCTGGAGTCGATGTGTTCAGTCCATCAATCTTGTAGAATGTACAGCATAGGGCCGTAGACGTGGCTTATATACTGTAGTGAGGTGAGAGTAAGACACATGTGCAACATCTGGGTATCTTTATTGTAGACGTTTCGCCATCCAGTGGCTTTATCAATACAAATTCTAGGACATAACTTGAAGACAGTAGAACTATGTACAGAAGATGAGGTAATCAGTCCCTCAACCTAGGAGTAGGTGCGAACAGCACCATAGTCGTGGTGCTGTTCGCACCTACTCCTAGGTTGAGGGACTGATTACCTCATCTTCTGTACATAGTTCTACTGTCTTCAAGTTATGTCCTAGAATTTGTATTGATAAAGCCACTGGATGGCGAAACGTCTACAATAAAGATACCCAGATGTTGCACATGTGTCTTACTCTCACCTCACTACAGTATATAAGCCACGTCTACGGCCCTATGCTGTACATTCTACAAGATTGATGGACTGAACACATCGACTCCAGGTTGAGGGACTGATTACCTCATTCTCCTCCTCTCCTTACGCCTTCCTCTTTGTATTGGACTGATGAAGCCACTGTGTGGCGAAACGTTTCCTGAATAAAGATTCCCATATGCTGCATAAGTGTCTCAATCTTCAACTTGTCGGTTTTTCAAACCATTCATCACACCTCAAGTCTTAATGGAAGGGGATTCCCCTTCTAAACACTAAGACTCTCTCCTCCTCCCATCCCATCAATCATCACCAGATCTTCAATAAAGGTAAGTGTCATGTAACTGTGCATGCCTTTTTCAGTTTGTGTGTATTAAAATTAATATTTCATGTGGTAAAAAAAAATTTTTTCATACTTTGGGGTGTCTTGCACGGATTAATTTGATTTCCATTATTTCTTATGGGGAAAATTAATTTGCATAACGATAATTTCGCATAACAATGAGCTCTCAGGAACGGATTAATATCGTTATGCGGGGGTCCACTGTATTTGAAACCTAGACACTGTTTTTAGTGACTTTTTCCCTTACAGTTAGATAGAAAAAAAAAAATAGTGCCTTATTCTATAGGGCTTAAATCTATCCTACTACAAAATTGGTAAGACTTACAATGTTCTAGTCAACATCAGATGAAAGATAACGAGTTAGGTAATCTAATTACACAGACGTTTGAGCGAAACATCAATAGACTGCATTATACAAAATGTTGAAAATACATTTGAAACTTTTTGGGGAGAAAAACTTCAATAAAAACAAAATGGTAAAATATATTGCAAACTTTTCATGCAATTCAATAGAACCATCATTCCTCAATAACATGTGAAAAAATCATGATGCTCGTATAAATATTCTTCGAATGAGAGGGAAAATAATGCCAATAACTTATTCCTGAGTTATTCCTAATTATGTTTTATGTAAAACTCTATGGTTATGGCCTGCCAAATCTAAGCGTGTTGCACCCCTCCATCCTTGTTGACAGCCTGCAGGCTACTCAGGGACAATCTCACCACACTCTTCACTTCAGTCCTCACAGAAGTTGCCATGTAGAGTATTTAGAATGAAAATCATAAAAATCTTAATTTTTCGAGTAAAAAAAAACCCACTAACTGCCAACATGTCCTCTTGCTGATAGCAAGAACAAAAAAAATTACATTTGTGGAAAAACATACTTAGAAATATGATAGAAACAAGCTGATTCCATCAACATGCTCTGAGAATTATGCACTATTTTTTGGTAAGAAAACATTGTTTTCCATAATTTTTCAATTTCAATTTTTTCATCACTACCTGGAATCTACCTGGAGGGGATTCCGGGGATCGACGCCCCCACGACCCGGTCCATGACCAGGCCTCCCGGTGGATCAGGGTCTTATCAACAAGGTTGCTACTGCTGGCCACACGCAATCCAACGTACGAACCACAGCCCGGCTGATCTAGCACCGTCTTTAGGTATCTGTCCAGCTCCCTCTTGAAGACAACCAGGGGTCTATTGGTAATGCCCCTTATTGCTGGTGGGAGGCTGTTGAAGTCTTGGGCCCCGGACACTTATTGCATTTTCTCAGTGTACCAGTGATGCCCCTACTTTTCACTGGAGGTATGTTGCATCACCTGCCAAGTCTTTTGCTTTCGCATGGAGTGATTTCTGTATGCACATTAGGGACCAGTCCCTCCAGAATCTTCCAGGTATATATTATGATCTCTCTCTCTCTCTCTTGCCTGCGCTCCAGTGAGTACAAGTTGAGTGCTCCCAGATTTGTCGCCTCCTTAAAACTACAAATATTTTAAGGCAAGTAATGGGTGTACTGTGTGTGTGTATTATATTTTTTATTGTTTTTAATGCCTAATTCTATTGCTAACCTAAAATATGTTAGTGTAAACTTGTTAATCTGGCATTTATATGTAGAAAAAAATGACGTTCTGATTTCCGGCGATGTCTGCTTTTCGGCAGTAGCCTGGAACCTAACCTGCCGTATAAGTAAGGCCCTACTGTACATTATTTAGGTATGTATATACTGGTCAGAGCCCATCGTAAGTCTGAGTTGTTGGTAAACAAGTACATTGCTAAGTGAGGAGAGGCTATATACCTTCTGTTCCTCTCGGCAATTTTGGCCAAGTTAACTTTAAATAAACCAGTCACAAACACATTTTAATTACCAAATTATGTGACACCAAGATCAATTACAAAAAACTTGGTCAAATTTTATTTATATATTCATAAGCACAGAGCCCACCATAAAATGCATAAATTTGCCTTACCTCAAAATATGATGTGGACTTGGATGAAGAGCCTCTTGGAGGACGGGCAGCAGTCTTCTCAGGCGAGGGATCCATAATTACAAACCCCCCGAAACTCATGCTGCCAATCACACTTGGCTAAAAAAAAAAAAGTATCATATATACAATAAATACACATTTCATGACAAACTAAAAAGACAATATATTGCATATACGCTCAATATAGGAATCTCTATTGCAGAAGAGTAGGCTAATTTGTAGTAAAATAGACTTGGTAATATTACGCACATTTTTCATGGAACACTAATGTGATGCAAGTTCAATTTTCTAATACTTCTCCATTCACCTTATTACCATACATATATCATAAATGTTAATATTTTTAAACCAATAATAGTGCACAAAAAAAAAAAAAAACTATTTTCAGTAATACTGTACTCTTGATACCAGCCAATAAAGGAGAGGAGGATAAAAAGTAACAAGTTTGAATGACTGGCAGGATAGTAATTCAATCTAATGGACAGCAGCTATCACAAAGTTTAATAATTTAAGGCAGACTATGGATCACTCAAACTCCACAGGTTAAGAAATAAAATACAGTATGCATAAATGTCAGATAATATCTTTATTTACTACAAGTACATGTACAAGGCATACAGTCCTAGCAGACAACAATGACATACTACTATATAGAAAGTCCCTTGTTATGCTCCGCATTTCGGGCAAATTAGGTCAGTGTCCCAGGATGCGACCCACACCAGTCGACTAACACTCAGGTACCCATTTTACTGATGGGGAACATAGACAACAGGTGGAAAGAAACACGTCCAATGTTTCTACTCTGGCTGGGAATCGAAACCAGGCCCTCGCCGTGTGAAGCGAGAGCGTTAACCACCAGGCCACCAGAGCGATACACCTTAATAATATAAATGAAGACTTACCATAAAGGGCACTGGAAAAGTGAAATCCCTAAGCATTCATTAGTATTTAACACTTAAACTGTCACCAGCCCTCCCCCCAAACTGAAAGTCCCTGTCACTATTTAAAATTTTTTTTATCTTTTAAAGTGGTAGAATCTTTTTCTAAAGGTAACACTACCAAAAATGCAAAATTTAATGTACAGTGGAATCTTTGCTTATGAACTTAATCCATTCCGTGACCCTGTTTGTATGCAGAGTCAATTTTCATCATTTAACTTAACTGAAAAGCCATTAATCCATTCTGGCGGAATTCCTCTCAGAGACAGGAAAAATACACTTCAATACAACGCTAATATCAACTCTACGGCTTATTTATCTATCACAGTTGATCTAACATGACATAATAAACAATACAGTGGAACCTTGACTTACGAGTGTCCCAACGTACGAGTTTTTTGAGATACGAGCCGTCGATCGATCGATTTTTTGCTCTGAGTTACGAGCCAACATTCGAGTTATGAGCCAGCTCCTCCCCCCACTTCCTCCTCAACCCAAAACCTGGACACCTCTTGTTTATCTATGATTTCATGCTTGAATTCCATGGAAATCATCCTCTTTTTCTTCTCAGCACTGTCCTTTACACTTATTTTCTTAGGAACCATGGTTAGAAAAGTGAAATTTGGCCAAATGACTGTCAAAAATGTAAACAAAGCAGGAGAGAACTGCTCCCACAGCTAGGTAAACGGTGCACCGAGTTGGCTTCGTTCTGAAAATCTCGTTATAATAATGTATTACAGTGGACCCCCGACATTCGATGGCATCGACATTCGATAAATCCGACATTCGATGCATTTTAACGCAAAAATTTCGCCTCAACATTCGATGGAAAACCCGATATTCAATACGATTCGTACGAGACGTGTCCACGTGTGGCCCGAACTGCCCCGTGTGCGCCAGTGTTTACAAGCCAGCCAGTGTGCGCGCATCTAAGAATACATTTGGTACATTCCATATTATCCATATTATCACTGTTTTTGGTGCTTGTTTCTGCAAAATAAGTCACCATGGGCCCCAAGAAAGCTTCTAGTGCCAACCCTGTGGTAAAAAGGGTGAGAATTAGTATGGAAATTAAGAAAGATTTTGAAGGGTTTGGGGTTAACCCTTAAAAGCCTATGGCAGTTGTGGACTCCATTGTGCCTACTTCAAAAAATTAAGGAAATGTGTGCAAAGTGGGTTGAACTGCAAACCTCTATGGAGGAAAATCACCCTAACACAGCTATTGCAAGCCGTGCTGGTGACTATTACAATGACAATGTTATGGCCCATTTTGACAAATCTTAAAGGAACAGCGACAGAGGTCCAGTGACTCGCAAGCTGGTCCCGGAAAAGGACTTGCTACCTCAAGTCCTAATGGAAGGGGATTCCCCTTCTAAACAGTAACAACTTCGACACTCTCCCCTCCTTCCATCCCATCAATCACCAGATCTTCATTAAAGGTAAGTGTCAATTATTCTATTGTTATTGTTGTTAATGTAATTATTCTATTGCATTAAACTTAATATTTCATGTGGTAAATTTTTTTTTTCATACTTTTGGGTGTCTTGCATGGATTAATTTGATTTCTATTATTTCTTATGGGGAAAATTAATTCGACTTTTGATATTTTCGACATTCGATAGCTCTCAGGAACGGATTAGTATCGAATGTCGAGGGTCCACTGTATTATTAATTTAGGGAACTGAAGCTCTATCATTATTGTAATGATTATTATTATTATTGATAATTTAGGGAACTGAAGCCGCTCACCAGCGTCAAGGTTCCTTGATGCTGGTGAAGGGCTCTTGATCTAGGGAATTGGATGTGTGCTCTAGTTCCCTAAATTAATAATAATAAAAATAATAAAAAAAATAAAAATAACTATAACAATAGAGCTTCAGTTCCCTAAATTATCAATAATAATATTACAATTATGTACGTATTATGTACATAATACATACATAAGTTATTATGAATGCTGCCGCTATTTGGCGCAGCTGATTTCAAAACATCTGGTAAGCAATACACGTTTACATCACTGTGGGAGCAGTTCTCTCCTGCTTTGCTTACATTTTTGACAGTCATTTGGTCAAATTTTGCTTTTCTAACCATGGGTCCTGGGACCCATGAAGAAAAAGATGACGATTTCCATGAAATTAAGGCATGAAATCATAGATAAACATAAGCAAGGCACACGAGTTGTGGATTTAGCCACACAATACCAGCAAAGTACATCTACTATATGTACGATACTAAAGCAGCAGGAGTCGATAAAAGCTATAGCGCCAGCTAAGGGCGTTACAATAATGTCTAGGCTGTGGAGCCCTGTCCATGAAAAGATGGAGAAACTGCTGATGACGTAGTTGAGAGAGAAGCAGCTCGCAGGAGATACCATGACTGAGGGTATCATCTGCGAGAAGGCACGAGGCAGTGAAAAAGTAAGAAGTGAAAGAAGTGAGAAATGAAACAAAACAAATTGTATCAGTTAAGTGACGAAACAAATTGTACGAGTTAAGTTCAGTAATGAAACAAAACAATGTTGTTGTTGGTTTACAGGGCCTCATACGCCCCACTGCGAATCTCCCACCCTCAACCCCCTCCACACTCAACCTCCGCCACCATCTATGCTCCAAGTGTGTAAGTACATACAAGTACATTTTATATAAACAGTTCATTATTTCTTTACATTCTGTAGCGCATTATGATATATTAAGTGTTTATATACGATATTTTCGATGTTTTCCTTAGAAAACTAGTGATCTACTGCAGTTTGCCTCAAAAATACTTTGTTTTCTCTTACAATAAGAGCATGGGAAGATACCATATAGTCAAAGTTGGACAGGAAATGGCGGATGCTTCTGCTGCTGCCTCTGCCACCATTTTATGGCCTATTTTATTCATTCTAGAGTATATATCATACTTCTGTGTTAATTATATTGTTTATTATGACATATTAGATGAATCGTGATAAATAAGCCTTACAGTTGATAATAGCGTCATATTCAAGTATTTTTCTAGTCTCTCCAGAGTGCAGGAACGGATTAATGGCTTTTCAGTTACTTTAAATGAGGAAAATTAATTTGATATATAAGTAAATTGAGTTATGAGCTAGCTCCTGGAACAGATTAAATTCCTAAGTCAAGGTTCCACTGTATAAATAACAAACCTGATATATACTCTAGGTCTAGAATGAATAAAATATGTTATTATGTGACATGTGGAAGCGGCCATAACCGCTCCCGCATTGTTGTGGTATTCACTGCCATCTAGTGACAGCCTTTCGAAGCCGTCTATTATTATAAAATATTATAGTACATTATTATACATATTATCTATTATTATTATAATGAGGAAGCACTTGTGGGGGGAGGGGATGGAAGGTATTTAGGCTTAATTTTGGGAACTGGAACACAGATCCAATTCCCTAGATAAAGGGCCCCACACCACTACTACTAATAATAATAACAATAATAATAATAATAACAGTAAGGAGAAGCTTCAAAAAGCTGCCAGTAGTTACCTGGAGGTTACCTGGAGGTTATTCCAGGGATCAACGCCCCCGCGGCCCGGTCCATGACCAGGCCTCCCGATGGATCAGGGCCTGATCAACTAGGCTGTTACTGCTGGCCGCACGCAGTCCGACGTACGAGCCACAGCCCGGCTGATCCGGCACTGACTTTAGGTATCTGTCCAGCTCTCTCTTGAAGGCAGCCAGGGGTTTATTGGCACCACCATCAGCAAAACATTGGTAACTACTACTTTTCACCTGTCTAGACTTAGGTAGTCTATAAGTATTAGGTTAAATCTGCCCGAAATGCCTTGGCATGATAGTGGCTTTCTTTGCTCCAATCATATGTCAACACACATTGTAACCTTTGCAAAGAAATATTTTATTTATTTAAGGAACCTTCCTTGAGGGGAAAGTACGTATGCATCCTGAAATTTTGTTTGTATCCAGAAGCAAAAAATCGACCAAACAACGGTTTGTATCCTGACAGTTCGCATGGCGGGGCATTCGTAAGCTGAGGTTCCACTGTACTACTTACAGAATTACATTACCTGGTGTACCTGGAGAAGGTTTCAGGGATCAATGCTGCTCAGTCTGAGATCAGGCTTCATTGTGGATCAGGGTCTGATCAACCAGGTGTTACTGCTAGGTATTAAGTTTGAGATCAGTGAGCATTTTACACAGCAATTCTGCCCAGTTTGAGGACCATTTTAGGCCAATTCCAATGCTCAAATTGGCCCAATTTCTGGCTATTTCGTTATCCATTGGTCAACTTGGCCAGTTTTACGTAACTTTCAAAAAATTCCAGTCCAAAAATAAAAAAAAAATTATGCATTCTACCCACTAAAATAACCTTCCCTCTATTCAATAATCGTGTCCCCAGGCCTGCCTCTCTCATGCAACACTTGCTCTTCATTTTGAACCCAGAATCACAAACAAGACAGCTGGGTTAGGGTGATTTTCATCCACAAAGGTTTGCAGTTCAACCCACTTTGCACACATTTCCTTAATCTTTGAAGTAGGCACAATGGATTCCACAACTGGCATAGGCATCTCAAGGTTAGCCCCAAACCCTTCAAAATTTTTCTTAATTTCCATACTAATTCTCACCCTTTTTATCACAGGGTTGGCACTAGAAGCTTTTTTGGGGCCCATGGTGACTTATTTTGCAGGTACAATCACTAAAAACTCTGTGATAATATGAAATGTTCCGATTGTATGTGTGGATGCGACCGCACTGGCTGGCTTGTAAACACTGGCACCCATGGGACAGTTGAGGCGCGCTCAGGCCACACGTGGACGCGTCTCGAACGAATCGCGTTGGGCGAGTTTTTTAGCATTAGCCGAAGCAAAATTTTTGCATTAAAATGTATCACTAGCTGGATTTAACGTTAGCTGATGCCATCGTTAGCTGAGGGTCCACTGTATTTCTACGTCATGAGCTCAGCTCGCTTGAGCTGTAAGCAGTAAATTTTAGCCTTGAAGTGAGAACGTATCTGTGCAGCAAATGAGCACACTAAGAAAAAATGTACCACACATGGTGCATGACGGGAAAAGCAAAACTGACCATGTGGTTGGTTTGAAACAGCGACTTTGGCAAAAGGGAGGGGTGGGGAGGAGGAGGAGGAAAGGAAAAAGGGGAGGATGGGATAGGGAACGGGAGATTGGGGGGTAATTAGGTTCGGTCTGAGGAAGGAGACCGACAGGTCTAATTCCTCAGACCAAGAGCCTCTTCACCACGCCAAGGAGCCCCCCTTGAAGAGGAATAAGTCTGGAATTTCCCCTATACGTATATTAAAAAGAGGGTGAAGTCTTGCCCCTTTACATCTGAGATATCTTAGAATGTTTATTGCATCCCCTTTTTATGGAGGGGATTTTGTGCCATCTGTTGAGCCACTTCTATTTACAGAGATTTTGGCATGCATATTTAGGACCAATCCCTTCAGAATTTTTAAGTATTAAGTTTTATTAACTCTTTCTCACTTAATACTTCAAATGTCCTTGGAATGTGACACCTAATTTTTAAAACGTGACAGTTCCTTTTCAGCACTATAGAATGGTTTGGTAGTCAAAATGATGGGCCCAAACAATTTCTTATATCACCTATGGGTATCAAACTTTGGTACTGTAATAAATTATTTACCATAGTTCTGATTAAAATTCTAAATTTATCATCACTGCATTACAAAATATACAATAATCAGAACTTATTATTATTATCACACCGGCCGATTCCCACCAAGGCAGGGTGGCCCGAAAAAGAAAAACTTTCACCATCAGTGATGGAGTGAATGATGGTGAAAGTTTTTCTTTTTCGGGCCACCCTGCCTTGGTGGGAATCGGCCGGTGTGATAATAATAATAAGTTCTGATTATTGTATATTTTGTAATGCAGTGATGATAAATTTAGAATTTTAATCTTAATTTGACAAGCAATCTTCAGTACAAACATTTATTGAAAAACCCGTATACAGTGGACCCCCGATTAACGATATTTTTTCATTCCAGAAGTATGTTCTTGTGCCAGTACTGACCGAATTTGTTCCCATAAGGAATATTGTGAAGTAGATTAGTCCATTTCAGACCCCCAAACATACACGTACAAATGCACTTATATAAATACACTTACATAATTGGTCACACTAGGAGGTGATCGTTAAGCGGGGGTCCACTGTATTACTCTCCATCCACAGCAGGGTTCTAAAGCTCCACAAGGCTCACTGTATGCAGTTTTACATTTATTTGCAAGTGTTGGAATTAATTTTCATACTCTCACATTTGGACAGGTAAATAATGTAAATTTAATGAAGGATAAGACAGACTAATTTTATTTATCTACATTATTATTGGTTATAACAATGTTGTCCCTCAGCAGAGCTCTGGCATTATTTAACGTTTTGATATTTACAAACTATATACACCATGGAATACATAGCTATTTATTGCACAAATTTTTATTTTGAGAGACATTAAGAAAAAATACCTTTATTTTGGGTAGAATACAGCAAGAGCCAACCAACAGCACTGGCCAATCACACATCAATCAGCAGACAAACCTAGCCAATCACAACAAAGATATGCCACTTACACACCAGCTATGGTTATGTTGTGAGAGGACAAGTTAGGTTACCTCATTGATATGGTAGGCATTAAATCCACAGGTTGACACAGCTACTGACCATTTTCTACAGGCTGTGACAAGCAGTTAATGTTAAATTTTAGTAGCAGGACAATACCAAACTTCATGCTGATATCAATACACAATTGTAGGTCAGTACTGATACCATCAAAATTTGTCAATACCAACTGATACTAGTACCTTGGTACATCCCTACTTAGGTTCAAAGACTGCACGAAGACTGTTAAAGCTGTGCACCACCAGTCAAGGTTCAAAATACAAACTCGTTTATTTAGTTGCATGCTACTAGAACCATACACACAAGTTAACCCAATAGCCAATAACGTCAAGCAGCGATTTATTAACACTGGAGGAGAGTAGATCCTAGTGTTACATAGTTAGGTATATACAACATGCAGTACATGTATTATGCACATATCCCACATTCATGAGAAGTGAAACCCATGACTGTGATGCAGCACCTAGGGAATGGAAGGCAACCAAGTTTGATCTGAGGAAGGGGCACAGTATCTCCAAGTCCTTGTATCAAGCACCTTCAGGGATTTCTATGGACATAAATTCATATTTAACTATTGGGTTCAAGTTAAATACATACATTATTTTTTGTGTCTTCATGATTACTATATGTATATAGTTTTTTAAATTATGTGTAATTTTAGTATAATCACTGGGACCACTAAATCCATAGGGGTCAAACAGCACCTGGGGGAGGGGGAGACAGTTTGATCCAAGGAAGGGAAGTAAAGGTTTAATTCCTAGCATTAAGAACCACTCACTAGCATCAAGGAACCTACTCTGGGGGTTCACTAAGTTAATTCAGGCACAGGTTGGCAAGTACAATTATCATATATAGCAAAGTGTGTAAATTACTGTAGAAGACTGCTCCTTGAAATCCAGTTTCTTGCATCAAGAGCCCCTGACTGGCATCAAGGAACCTCCCTCACGAGTCATGTTTGGTAAGGCTAAATAAAACCTTCGAGGTTCATAAAGGCGCACACTGAAGGGTGCCCACAGATACCTACATTTAAGTGTACATTATCATAAACAGTGTATTTAGTAACTCTAAGAGCTGTGTCTGGCGTCTACCAACATTTCCCTCACCAGCATCAAGGAATTATATTATGTCAAAATACAAACATAAGTCATCAAGGTAGTGCTGGAGATACCTACACTTAAGTCTACATTACAGTCACTAAGAGCAGTGTCTGGAGTGTACACACACGTGTACACCCGGCCACACCTCACCTCTCACACCTCAACACAACATAACACACATAAAACGCACCTTTAAGCACCTTTTAACGTGAAAATCGAGAGATGGTCATGTCTGGAGCGGCCTTACACCTCTGTTGATACTTTTTAAACCTCCTTCAGTTTGAATCTTCCCACCAATCACAGACCGAGCACAACAATCCCCCTCCACCAATCACAAGCCAGGAATGTGGCCACAGAGCCAGCCAATCAGGGGACGTATACTAAATCTCCACCAATCACATTGCAGCTGAGAATTTGTCGCCCTTCAGTTGTGAAATAATTCGTTTTCATTACGTAAGGTATTCTTTCCCTTCCTCGGTTTCAAACCTGTATGATCTGCCATTCCCAGAATGTGTAATGTATATAAAGATATTAACAACCATTATGAAGAATATCTTTCTTTAAAGTGTGTTAATTTTAGGAATAAAACAATATTGTCAGGCCAGACCTCCAGTATCCAATTATAAATAATTATTATTATTAATATTATAAAGGTTTATTGTATTGATAATTATATTAATTATTATTGTTATTATTACTACTAGTAGTTGTAGTATAAATAGTACTAATAATAGGAGCAGTAGTAGTAGAAGTAGTAATAGAAATAGTAACAGTAGTAGCAGTAGATATAGTAGTAGTAATAGTAGTGGAAGTAGTAGTAGTAATAGTGGTAGAAGTAGTAGTAATAATAGTAGCAGTAGAAGTAGTAGTAGTAATAGTAGTAGCAGTAGAAGTAGTAATAGTAGTAGCAGTAGAAAGTAGTAGTAGTAATAGTAGTAGCAGTAGAAGTAGTAGTAGTAATAGTGGTAGAAGTAGTAGTAGTAATAGTGGTAGAAGTAGTAATAGTGGTAGAAGTAGTAGTAATAGTAGTAGCAGTAGAAGTAGTAGTAGTAATAGTAGTAGCAGTAGAAGTAGTAATAGTAGTAGCAGTAGAAGTAGTAGTAGTAATAGTAGTAGCAGTAGAAGTAGTAGTAGTAATAGTGGTAGAAGTAGTAGTAGTAATAGTGGTAGAAGTAGTAATAGTGGTAGAAGTAGTAGTAATAGTAGTAGCAGTAAAAGTAGTAATAGTAGTACAGTAGAAGTAGTAGTAGTAATAGTGGTAGAAGTAGATAGTAATGTGTAGTAGTAATAGTGGTAGAAGTAGTAGTAGTAATAGTAGCAGTAGAAAGTAGTAATAGTGGTTAGAAGTAGTAGTAGTAATAGTAGTAGCAGTAAAGTAGTAGTAGTAATAGTAGTAGAGTAGAATAGTAGTAGTAAAGTGGTAGAAGTAGTAGCAGTAATAGGGTAAAGTATAGTAGTAATAGTGGTAGAATTAGTAGCAGTAATAGTGGTAGAAGTAGTAGTAGTAATAGTGGTAGAAGTAGTAGTAATAGTAGCAGTAAAAGTAGTAATAGTGGTAGAAGTAGTAGTAGTAATAGTAGTAGCAGTAGAAGTAGTAGTAGTAATAGTAGTAGTAGTAATAGTGGTAGCAGTAGTAATAGTGGTAGAAGTAGTAGTAGTAATAGTGGTAGAAGTAGTAGTAGTAATAGTGGTAGAAGTAGTAGTAGTAATAGTGGTTGAAGTAGTAGTAGTAATAGTGGTAGAAGTAGTAGCAGTAATAGTGGTAGAAGTAGTAGTAGTAATAGTGGTAGAAGTAGTAGTAATAGTAGTAGCAGTAAAAGTAGTAGTAGTAATAGTGGTAGAAGTAGTAGTAGTAATAGTGGTAGAAGTAGTAGTAGTAGTAATAGTAGTAGCAGTAGAAGTAGTAGTAGTAATAGTAGTAGTAGTAATAGTGGTAGCAGTAGTAATAGTGGTAGAAGTAGTAGTAGTAATAGTGGTAGAAGTAGTAGTAGTAATAGTGGTAGAAGTAGTAGTAATAGTGGTAGAATTAGTAGCAGTAATAGTGGTAGAAGTAGTAGTAGTAATAGTGGTAGAAGTAGTAGTAGTAGCAGTAGAAGTAGTAGTAGTAATAGTAGTAGTAGTAATAGTGGTAGAAGTAGTAGTAGTAATAGTGGTAGAAGTAGTAGTAGTAATAGTGGTAGAAGTAGTAGTAGTAATAGTGGTTGAAGTAGTAGTAGTAATAGTGGTAGAAGTAGTAGCAGTAATAGTGGTAGAAGTAGTAGTAGTAGTAATAGTAGTAGCAGTAAAAGTAGTAGTAGTAATAGTAGTAGAAGTAGTAGTAGCAGTAGAAGTAGTAGTAGTAATAGTGGTAGCAGTAGTAATAGTGGTAGAAGTAGTAGTAGTAATAATGGTAGAAGTAGTAGTAGTAATAGTGGTAGAAGTAGTAGTAATAGTGGTAGAAGTAGTAGTAGTAGTAATAGTGGTAGAAGTAGTAGTAGTAATAGTGGTAGAAGTAGTAGTAGTAATAGTAGTGGAAGTAGTAATAGTGGTAGAAGTAGTAGTAGTAATAGTGGTAGAAGTAGTAGTAGTAATAGTGGTAAAAGTAGTAGTAGTAATAGTGGTAGAAGTAGCAGTAGTAATAGTAGTGGAAGTAGTAATAGTGGTAGAAGTAGTAGTAGTAATAGTGGTAGAAGTAGTAGTAGTAATAGTGGTAGAAGTAATAGTAGTGGAAGTAGTAATAGTGGTAGAAGTAGTAGTAGCAGTAGTAGTAGTAGTAGTAGCAGCAGTAGTAGTAGTAATAGTGGTAGAAGTAGTAGTAGTAATAGTGGTAGAAGTAGTAGTAGTAATAGTAGTAGCAGTAGAAGTAGTAGTAGTAACAGTAGTAGTAGTAATAGTAGTAGCAGTAGCAGTATTGATGGGAAGAGCTTAACCAGTATGATTGCTGAAGCGCCTGGGGGTTCCCTAGGGGAGAGGAGCAGCAGGGAGGGTTCCCAGGGTTGTGGTCACCTCAGGAACGCCCACTCATGTGTAATATTTATAAATAACCTCTGACCCATAACTGTTCCCGGCTCACATCCAAAGTACCCGGGTTTAATCCTGGGGTAGGCCCATCTTTGAAGGATTTTAAGAACTTTGTTACTCTCGCAACCCGGCTCTGTCCAGGCTCGTCTGGTGTTTGCATGGTCACCCAGGCTGTTGCTGTTGACGGCCCCTTGGCCCACATATCCATCACAGCCTGGTTGATCTGGCACCTGGTGTAGATACTTGTCCAGTTTCCACTTGATTTCTACACTTGTCCCAGCAGTGTTTCTGATACCATCAGGTAAGATGTTGAATAATCTGGGACAAGGGACGTTGATACATTGTTCTTTCTCATTTTTTGTTTTTTTTTGTTTTTTGTTTACATAAATCAGATTTAGAGGCTAAGAGTTGTTTACCTACCTCAGAGTCTGAGTTGATAAGTTTATTGAACAGAAAGTGATTCCACAATCTGGCGTGTGCTACAGCTTCCAGCTGGGTAATTGGAAGCTTAGCTGCGGCCATCAGGGTCTGCTGGATCCGGCTCAGGACCAACACAACACTAGCAACACTAACAGCACCAACACACACAGCATCAACACATATAATTAACACAATTAACTGTTTAATTCTGTATATTTAAAATGATGTGTGTTTTAGAGTATACCTGGAGTTTACCTGGAGAGGGTTTCAGGGGTCAGCGCCCCCCCGCGGCCCGGTCTGAGACCAGGCCTCATGGTGGATCAGGGTCTGATCAACCAGGCTGTTACTGCTGGCTGCACACCAGTATAAGTATTTTATTTACTCTAGCATTTTTTATTATTAGCATCCACCTCTGTAATCTGGCAGAAGTGGATGTTGCAAGCTTCACTAGTGGCATCAGTGCCTGGGATACCCTTCCAGTGCAGACGAGACCAACTGACATTTTGCCTCACTAACAATCCTGCTGGAACAACCCTCATCATGGAAAAGGTTGCTGCTGCTATGTTAGTGGGTGCAAGCTGAGACAGCGCATTTTTTAGCTGTGTGAATCAATGGGGCAATTTCTCCACACTTTTAGGGCTTGTCAGCAGGATGGTGCTGCTGATCACAAGGAAGATCATAATCTCAGTGAGTATAGGTACTTAGCCCACCAATACCACGTAGTCCTTATAGGTTCAGAGACCTTTGGTTCATGGAGAGAGCACTTAGATTTCCCCAGAGAGCTGGGTTCTAGGATCATCGAAACGATCTGAGGGCTGCCACCTTTCTCTTCCAGTGCCTCAGTGTGATGATCCAGAGAAGTAGCACCTCCTCCATCTTTTGTTCCCGTTTGTCGTCTGAGAAGCTAGAGGAGCTCCACAACTTAAAAGTTCCCACATGTACAATATATATACATACATACATACATACATACATATATATATATATATATATATATATATATATATATATATATATATATATATATATATATATATATATATATATATATATATATATATATAAGGAGGGGTTTGGGATATTGGCAGTTTGGAGGGATATGTTGTGTATCTTTATACGTATATGCTTCTAAACTGTTGTATTCTGAGCACCTCTGCAAAAGCAGTGATAATATGTGAGTGTGGTGAAAGTGTTGAATGATGATAAAAGTATTTTCTTTTTGGGGATTTTCTTTCTTTTTTGGGTCACCCTGCCTCGGTGGGAGACGACCGACTTGTTGAAAATATATATATATATATATATATATATATATATATATATATATATATATATATATATATATATATATATATATATATATATATGTGTGTGTGTGTGTGTGTGTGTGTGTGTGTGTGTGTGTGTGTGTGTGTGTGTGTTGACTTCATTTAAAAATAATTGTATTACAAATATTGTGGGAAGCGCTCAGCCCGTAGGGGAAATACAGCGCCTAGTGAGGTAATCGTGTTTGATCCTAGGAAAGAGAAGAGCAGCTTCAATTTCTTGGATCAAAAGCCCTTCACCAGCATCAAGGCATCTACGTTGATGGATGAAAATATATTGTGCGATTATTGATCAAGTGACGTCAGTGTCAAGAGTTTAATAATAATAATAATAATAATAATAATAATAATAATAATAATAATAATAATAATAATAATAATAATAAAACAATAGTAAAAATAATAAAATAAAAAATAATGTCAGAAAACACCTCAATGCCATGTTATCAGGACTCAATAAAAGTCACTAACGTGTCTCAGATTTTAATGATGTTTAATTGAGTACAAATAGAAGACGGTAGGAGGGGGGTACAGGCCTAAATTCTCTATTCACGAGAAGTACAGGCCTAAATTCTTTATTATAAGAAGTACAAGCCTAAATTATTTATTCATGAGAATTACAACCCTAAATTATTTATTAATGAGAATTACAGGCCTAAATTATTTATTCACGAGAAGCACAGTCCTACATTATTTATTCATGAGGACAGGCCTAAATTATTTATTTATCAGGAGTACAGGCCTAAATTATTTCTTCATTGGGAGGAGCTGAACCCGTGCGGGAAGGGGGTCATACAGCGTTCTGGGATAATGAGAGGTAATCTAGTTTGATCCAGGGAAGGTTGAGGTTGGCTCCAGTTTCTTGCATGAGGAGCCCTCCAGCACCCCTCTCAGGTGGGGTACGGACCTAGCAACAGAAGACACCGTTGCTCCGCTCTTTCTTGACGACCATAATAAACCAATTGGGCAGTAAAATCACCGGACGTTTGCGCTAAACCCGTATGGGTCACAAGAGTACCTTGTAGTCCAGTCATCAGCTCTCTCATAACTCTTCTATATACTGTGACCCTTCTTTTTTAAAGGCGATTGAAAGGTCACATCGAAAATTGAACAGCTCGTGGAAAGGCATTCACAATACATATTATTCAATTCTGGATGGTACTTCTCATTCACATTAACAAAAAAAGATCACTATAAAAAGGAGCTTTGTAAAATAATCTACTAAAAAGTACATAACCTCAAAACTGAACAGACACACTATGAAGGCCTTTTCCCGGGGTATTTAATTTTGGAACAACTTTTCCATGGCCATAGCCAAAAACACAGCACTATATGGAATAACTGTATAAGAGGGTTCACTGTATTAATATGTGAAGACATAGCAGAAGTCGCTTATATTTCCACCAGCTGAACAATTGTCAGATTTTTTGTTTTGATTTATTCTTGCAGTCTGTAGGTCAGTATTTTGTTAGGTCAGGTGAGGGATGGGCGGAGGAAGAACTAGGATAGTACAGTGAGAAAGGTTGTGGGTAGAGAGGGAGAGAGAGGTGAGAAAGGTTGTGGGTAGACAGAGAGAGATGAGAAAGGTTGTGGGAAGACAGGGAGTGAGAGGCGAGAAAGTTTGTGGGTAGAGAGAGCTGAGAAAGGTTGGGGGTAGACAGAGGTGAGAAAGGTTGTGGGTAGATAGGGAGAGGGAGGTGAGAAAGGTTGTGGGTAGACAGGGAGAGGTGAGAAAGGTTGTGGGTAGACAAGGAGAAAGAGGTGAGAAAGGTTGTGGGTAGACAGGGAGGGAGAGGTGAGAAAGGTTGTGGGTAGACAGGGAGAGAGAGGTGAGAAAGGTTGTGGGTAGACAAGTAGAGAGAGGTGAGAAAGGTTGTGGGTAGACAAGTAGAGAGAGGTGAGCAAGGTTGTGGGAAGGCAGAGAGGGTTCGGGAAGGTTTGGTGACTTGACCACCTTTGAATGGGTTTTAAGAAAATGGATTTTGTCACATAGTGGCCAGTGTTCAAGGCTGTTATTTCTCTCTTTTCTATACTCATGAAGCATACGTTGATGTACTGTCTGCTGCCTGATGTTGATGTATTGTCTGCTGCCTGATATTGATGTACTGTCTGCTGCCTGATGTTGATGTATTGTCTGCTGCCTGATATTGATGTACTGTCTGCTGCCTGATGTTGATGTACTGTCTGCTGCCTAATGTGGATGTACTGTTTGCTGCTTGATATTGATGTACTGTCTGCTGCCTCATGGTATTGTCCTGTCTGCTGCCTCACGGTGTTGAGGTACTATCAGCTGTCTCATTCTCTCACTTGGTTACGCCTGTGCTGGAAAACACCGAGTTTGTTCCTGCAACGTAATGCTCCCATAGAATAGTGTTGCTGCACGTTGTGTGTCTCCGACGTGACAATCACATGGAATATGGTAGCTGCTCACTGCAGGGTGTTTCCACAATGTATCATACAGAAAAGCGTGGCTGTACATTCCCGGGGTTCATAATGAAACATAAAATAGATGGAAGTCACTGTCCCACTCTTTCACAAATTTTCTTGGCTCTAAAGCAAGGTATCATAATAATAGAACGAGAGACAACTAAATAATATATATGACTTCAGGAGAGAAAGTGAGAGATTTCAGCACATGAACAATGGTCAGCAGTTACAGCAGGGGCCCTGGAACCTTAGATCTGGAATACTGGTAGTGACCTCTTCTCAGTCTTTGCTGACATAAACCAACTGTACCCAAGGTAGTGAGGAAGATGGTGTACTGGCAAGGTAACCTTTGTTACAACTTTCCGTTCAAGAACGCTGTAATAAAGACGCAACCTGGACTGTAATAAAGACTGCAACTTGGACTGTAATAAAGACTGCAAACTGGACTGTAATAGAGACTGCAATCTGGACTGTAATAAAGAGCTGCAGCCTGGACTGTATTAAGTCCGGGTTGAAGGTTTCCGTACCACCATATTGTTTTCCTCACTGCTTGAGATTTGCGCCGTCGTTTATTCCCATGTGCCCATGTATTGTATAATCAAATTTAGAGCTAAACCCTTAAGGGTCATACAATGCTACCTACCATCTTATACAGGTACATGATGTGCCCATGATAATGGAAGCTTACTCAACTGTTTTCCTTTAAGATTTTTTTTTTCACAAGGTACTACAACGAGCTTCGCACTTCTGGAAAATGATCATGATCACAGCTGAGGGCAGCGATACACTCGACTAGTGAAAGTTATATGGAATGCATGGAGACATTGCGTCTACGTTTGTTACCTATATCTTATAATGCTGTTTATGTGTTTGAGATTTGTAGTTCCCTTGCAGCGTCGCTGTCTGCTCGGTCAAGCACACGATCACAGCTTCAAGAGTTATCACAACACAGTTATAAACTTCTAGTTACGTCTAGTATCTCGATACCGTCGTTGTCGCAAAATACACTATGGATAAGGCGCGTTTATACAAGAATATATCATGTTTAATATTTACACCGAGAAAAATATTTGATCCACAAAATTTGACTTATTTAATATCGTTTCAGTGATTCATAGAGGAATGGCTGTGGAGGAGAGAGCAATATTGTTGTTCTGTTGCTCAGGGGAAGTCATACCAACCAATGTTTTACGATAATCCGGACTGAATAAGAAGTACAAAACAAAATTGAAGACATGGCCGGAAACCTCTAAAACATCGGCCACAGCTCTGAAGTACGGGATAAAGTACATATCGTTAAACATCAACACTTTATAGATGGCACTGGGGAAGGCAGAAACATAGAAGAGGATTGTGATCGCCACCAGCAGGAAAAACAGCCGCCGTTCCCTCTCCTGGCGCGCCTCGTTTATGATATCACCATCTCGGTCTTTCTTGATTTGCTTCAGCGTCACCACGATGGCCACGTTGAAAGCAGTTATGAGGACAGCGGGCAAGAACCTCGAGTAAATTTCTCTGAAGAACTCGTAGCCCATGTACCAGGGCTGGTTCCTGTAGTGGCTCTCACTGACGCAGCACCCAAGCTCATCACATCTGTACACCTGTCCGAGAGGGGTAAGGCTGTACACAAACACTGTGAGGAGAAGGGATATACCACACCGAACTCTCACCACCTCCATCCTCTGCTTGGCGGAGAACTTCTGCGGGCTGCAGACGGCGAGGCAGCGGTCGTAGGAGAGCCACACTACGATATATTCACTCATGGTGAGGAAGAGGTTGACGAGGGGAATTCCCACGTTGGCGTAGTAGAGAGCGCTAGCCCGCGGCACCTCCTGCATCTCTGAGATGCGGGAGAAGTCGTTCATGCAGAAGGGAACGTTGAACACCAGGTAGAGCAGGTCACTCACCGCCAGATGGTTCAGGTACCTATGGAACATATACACACACGTTATATACACAGCTCAAAAAAAAATTACCTGCTGGCCACACTATGGCTCGCCTCATATATAATTCTTTAAAATAACTCAACCTAACACTAGCCGGCATTATAACTAAAAAAAAAAAATGCCTCTTACCAACATCAGTAACCCACCAACTCTGGCTTAAATAACCTGACCCACCACGACGCAAAGAGAGAACCCACTAACTTTTCTTATAACGAACTTACCTTAACTCAGGGTTTAAATGTTACTTAAACCATTTTTTTTGTGCTTCAGTGTTTCAATACAAAATAAGAGGATGTGCTCTTTGTCCTCCACACGAGGGTCCTCACTGCGAATGTTCCAACATTATTTTTATTTTATTTTCACGTTGAAGTACGGAATCCGTGAAGATTATACAGTGGCTGAGGAATGGGAGACAACAACAACAACAACAACAATAATAATAATATTTTTATTTCTACAAGTACATGTACCAGATATACAGACCATAGCTGATATCAATAACATACTACTATATAGAAAGCCGCTTGTTATGCTAAGCATTTCTGGCAAATTAAGTAAATTTTGTCCCAGGATGCAAACCACACCAGTCCACTAATACCCAGGTACCCATTTACTGCTAGGTGAGCAGGGGCAGCAGGTGTCTTATGGAAACACGTCCTAATGTTTTCCAGTCGTACTGGGGGATCGACTCCCACACCTCAGTGTGTGAGCTGAGTTCGCTAGCAATTGTGTTATTGTTCGATCCAAGGAAAGGCAGGATAAGCTCAGTGTTGCGACCCCTGAACGGGTCACAATGTATATAATGCATATTACCTTTTCATATAATTTTATATTGCTTATATTTGCGATAATAGCTAAATCGTAAATATATTGCTTTATATTATTATTTGACTTAGTTACTTTTGTTAGGTATGATGTAACATTTATATATATTATTCAGTGCTCATAGTTCAAGTCTTGATTGTCTAACTACTGTAATTATCACTTGTTGCTAGTTTCCCTGCCGGCTTCTCGGTGTTGCTGGGCAGCAACAGCCCACGGAGCTATCACATGATAGAGGAGGGGGGTGTTCACACCTCGCCTGGAGTAGTCAGTCTGGGCTAGACTCTCTTGTTGGTTGGACGTATTCCTGACAAGATGTGCCTAACTCTCCCTTATTGGCCCTTGTTGGAAGATCGTCTCTGTCGCTTTCTTGTTGTTGGTTCTGTAGAACTCTGTTCACAGAACATTGTCTAGGCTTAGTGATTTTCGACGTTGTACTGAGGTTGTGTGTCACATAGACACTCTGAGCAACTCAGGTCCTGAGCTGTAGCTTCTGACCTAACTTGTACTGGTATCTGTGTACTGTCACAGTTGGGGATTTTCTTATGCTGAACTTAGATTCAGTAGTATGGGAGTTTTGTGACTTTTGTGGAGGATCTGCTGATGGTCCAAGTCCTAACCGATATAAGCTGGGAAGATATACTAAGCAACACAGACCCCAACGTATGCCTAGAACAGATTAACTGGGTGGCACTCGATGTATGCACAAGGCTTATTCCTCTAAGAAAAAGGAGGAGTAGATGTAAAATAGAAAGAGACAGGCACTCCCTTTACAGGCGACGGAAAAGAATAACAGAGCGGCTAAAAGAGGTCAATATATCTGAAATGCATAGGGAGACACTGGTCAGAGAAATAGCAAGCATCGAACTCAAGCTAAAGGAATCTTATAGGAGTCAGGAATTGCAGGAAGAACTAAAAGCCATAAATGAAATCGAAAGAAACCCAAAGTATTTCTTCTCCTATGCCAAATCAAAGTCGAGAACAACATCCAGTATTGGGCCCCTACTTAAAAAAGATGGGTCCTACACAGATGACAGCAAGGAAATGAGTGAGCTACTCAAGTCCCAATATGACTCAGTTTTTAGCAAGCCGCTAACCAGACTGAGAGTCAAAGATCAAAATGAATTTTTTATGAGAGAGCCACAAAATTTGGTTAACACAAGCCTATCCGATGTTATCCTGACGCCAAATGACTTTGAACAGGCGATAAATGACATGCCCATGCACTCTGCCCCAGGGCCAGACTCATGGAACTCCGTGTTCATCAAGAACTGCAAGAAGCCCTATCACGAGCCTTTTCCATCCTATGGAGAGGGAGCATGGACACGGGGTCGTCCCACAGTTACTAAAAACAACAGACATTGCCCCACTCCACAAAGGGGGCAGTAAAGCAACAGCAAAGAACTACAGACCGATAGCACTAACATCCCATATCATAAAATCTTTGAAAGGGTCCTAAGAAGCAAGATCACCACCCATCTAGAAACCCATCAGTTACACAACCCAGGGCAACATGGGTTTAGAACAGGTCGCTCCTGTCTGTCTCAACTATTGGATCACTACGACAAGGTCCTAAATGCACTAGAAGATAAAAAGAATGCAGATGTAATATATACAGACTTTGCAAAAGCCTTCGACAAGTGTGACCATGGCGTAATCGTGCACAAAATGCGTGCTAAAGGAATAACAGGAAAAGTCGGTCGATGGATCTATAATTTCCTCACTAACAGAACACAGAGAGTAGTCGTCAACAGAGTAAAGTCCGAGGCAGCTACGGTGAAAAGCTCTGTTCCACAAGGCACAGTACTCGCTCCCATCTTGTTCCTCATCCTCATATCCGACATAGACAAGGATGTCAGCCACAGCACCATGTCTTCCTTTGCTGATGACACCCGAATCTGCATGACAGTGTCTTCCATTGCAGACACTTCAAGGCTCCAGGCGGACATCAACCGAATCTTTCAGTGGGCTGCAGAAAACAATATGAAGTTCAACGATGAGAAATTTCAATTACTCAGATATGGTAAACACGAAGAAATTAAATCTTCATCAGAGTACAAAACAAATTCTGGCCACAAAATAGAGCGAAACACCAACGTCAAAGACCTGGGAGTGATCATGTCGGAGGATCTCACCTTCAAGGACCATAACATTGTATCAATCGCATCTGCTAGAAAAATGACAGGATGGATAATGAGAACCTTCAAAACTAGGGAGGCCAAGCCCATGATGACACTCTTCAGGTCACTTGTTCTATCTAGGCTGGAATATTGCTGCACACTAACAGCACCTTTCAAGGCAGGTGAAATTGCTGACCTAGAAAATGTACAGAGAACCTTCACGGCGCGCATAACGGAGATAAAACACCTCAATTACTGGGAGCGCTTGAGGTTCCTGAACCTGTATTCCCCGGAACGCAGGCGGGAGAGATACATGATTATATACACCTGGAAAATCCTAGAGGGACTAGTACCGAACTTGCACACGAAAATCACTCACTACGAAAGCAAAAGACTTGGCAGACGATGCAACATCCCCCCAATGAAAAGCAGGGGTGTCACTAGCACGTTAAGAGACCATACAATAAGTGTCAGGGGCCCGAGACTGTTCAACTGCCTCCCAGCATACATAAGGGGGATTACCAACAGACCCCTGGCAGTCTTCAAGCTGGCACTGGACAAGCACCTAAAGTCGGTTCCTGACCAGCCGGGCTGTGGCTCGTACGTTGGTTTGCGTGCAGCCAGCAGCAACAGCCTGGTTGATCAGGCTCTGATCCACCAGGAGGCCTGGTCACAGACCGGGCCGCGGGGGCGTTGACCCCCGGAACTCTCTCCAGGTAAACTCCAGGTTAGTGTCGTTATATTATCTCCTTGATCCTGATTGTGTCGCAGTTGCTTGTTATATTGCTATTGGGCTTAGCAGTCGTTTTATTGTTCAAGCAAGCTGTTCTGATTGCCAGATGGTCAAGAAGTTAGTTAATGTGAGGACTTAGTCACTAGTTAAGTCTAGTTGAGTTTTGAGACATAGCGAACTACTTAGAGCACTTACACACATACACACAAGCTTACTTGTACATATTTGTAATATCTTATTAAATGTTAATGTACCAGACAGTACTTAAGATGCATAAATGTGATACGTGCCTTCAGCACAATACTACTGTACACGAGAGAAGTGTAGGAACTTGTATCCTATATTATATTCAATTGATTAATTTAATTTACTTTGATCTTATACCTCTAGACTTTGTTATTAATAAATTTATTAAATTTTAATTTCTTTAGTTAGTAGCCTACCAGTTGAAATCCTGAAGCACTAATAATTCTTATTGAATTCTAATGGATAACTGAACCAGGATACTGACTACTAGTTACGAAAACCCAGTAACAGGCTGGATGCTAGAAGGGCAGTCCTTTCTAGTATTCACTGGAGGTCTCTATACTTATTAGAAATCGCGTTTTTTGTAACATTCAGTTCCTTGGACCAAGAGCCCCCTCACCAGCATCAAAGCATCTCGTTGCAAAATGACGAGAGGCTGAAGCATTCTCCTCCCGCCATACTCCTCAAGGGTGGTGGGTGCCTTAATACTGGTAACAGGCTCTTGATTCAATGAATTAGAGCTACCTTCCCCTTGTGACAGAAAGACAACATACAGACTGTGGAAAATACTGTATATTTTCCGAAAATACAGTGTATTTTGTATGTAAATTGATGGAATATATTGTAGGTAATAAAAATTAATTTGTAAATAAATAAAGAACCAGCGAAATGGGTGAGCGTCGCTGTGGAGGAGTCGCCATTGTTTTGAATTGACCGAGACAAACGTTAGTGAAAATCGGAAGAATTTTCGTCGCTCTAGAGGTTATATTGGGTTTTAAACCTCTCAAATAGGAGTTGAAATTGTTGGAATTGCAGTCCTGCAGAACGTGAGAATTAGGCGACTGGACAGGACTCCGTAATTAGATGGAAACAGGATATTACCAGCTGAGTCGTTGTCTATATTTATGTTGAAATTCTGGCCAGTATTTTTTTCATAATTTAGGCAGGGGTTTTGTGTATGACACACCGTAATCTCCAGACTAATTGGTGAGTGGTATTAAGATAAATTCTCCTTCAATGTATATGTATTCATTTTTTAAATTTAATATAGAGTCCACA